CCTTTCACACAAAAACTATGTCGTTAGTTGTCATCACCCCCGCCACAGGGGTGTCACTTGAAAATATCGCATCCCTGATTGACTGCTGCCACTTCAAATGTCTTCGAGTTGTCCGAGTCGCTCGTTCGTTTCGATCCTCGTGCTTTCCGAGCAATTCGTGTCCCAGCGCCAGGATCTAGGGAAAGGTAGAGAAGAACGCACGAGCAACACCAAAATTGCTGGAAAGTTGCCCGTCTGACGTAGGCCTTAGCGAGAGCCCGCTGCTACCCGCTTTTTCAACATCCATTAATTTTCTCGGGGTGAAGAGGTTAACGGAAAGGGCGTTCGATGAACTTTTGACTCGCATATTTATAAACAATATCTCCGAGATAGTGTGTAAAAGGCATAAAAAGTTAAAAAAGGTCGAATTCTATGCTGTTTTCTCTGTGGCTGTGTGGAAAGCGAAGCAACATCTGATTTTTTCTTCAAACTCATAAAATAAAGTGAAGATAATTTTTAAAAAAATATAAGAACGAAAGTAAAGAACTCTGTACAGAAAAGTGATCCTTTTTTCTGACGATATAGCATGTCAGTGTAGGTGATTTCACTGATAATCTTAGATATACTTCGATCATTTTCTTTGGATTTACCACCTAAGACTTCACAGCTGCAAAGCGAATTGTAGACAATGTCATAGTGGGGATTGTGGACATTCTCAAGAGAACAAAACTCTGCTTTATGACAAATTAACAGTTAAGGGAAGCTCCTGCCACGTCTTTCCCCTTTAGCGAAGCGAACGCCGGAGACGAGGCGAACTCCACTTCAGCGTTCGCTCTGCTAGGGCTGAAAGAGGTTGGAGGAGCTCCACATGAACTCTTAAGCTGTCACCGCATATGGGAATTAATACTGGTTCCACAAACAAAGCAAAACAATATTGTTTTAATCGTTCCTTTTCTTAGAAAGTGATGGCGACTGTACTTTCTTACAGTGTAACTCGTAGCCTATCGTAGCAAGAAATTATTTGGGTTTAAAGGCTTTTGTTAATTAGGAAATCAAGGCAGACGACTGGTACAGTGATCGTGTTGAGAAAGCTTGTTATTAACTCAAAATGAAACTAAGTGATGCGTAAAACTTTGTAAAATGTAGTACCATTCCTTTTTGTAGTCGATACACCACTAGTCCCATAAACGTAGGGACTCTTGAAGACATCTATACGCGCCGGCGGTCTGAAGAGGCTGTTAACGAAATAAATATACCTCTGCCAGACGGACGTTATAAGAGTCCTTAGACAAATTCCTTCGAAAGATCGCCGAAATAGCGCAAGGCGATAGGCGCAAAATCGCGAGTGGATTCGCCGATTCTTTAAAAGGGTTAGTCTTGAAGTGCCTCAGCGTGCAATTCTGACTGTGGTTTTAGTTTGCGTATAAGAGATGTTGCTTCTTTCATTGAGCTGCATTCATTGTGGTTGATTATTCAGTGAAATTTAACTTTAACATGGCCAACTATACCAAATCAAGTTTTTGTTCTTGGCTGAAGGCAAACTTTCACAAATGATGTCAAGAATACCTCTCAGAAGACAGAGTAGTGTTGAGAATTTTTTTTAACGTCAGTCTAAGATATCATTTGATTTTACTATTTAGAAGACCCCGTACACAATTTTGGGGGTTCCTATGGCTAAAAGGCAATGCGGTGAGCGGAGAAGCTTTGTCGCGTCTGGTTTGGTAGTTTTTCACCGTGTAGTTTATGCGAGTATTTATCGAAGTCTCACGAGGCATTGAACTGCATTCGCTTGAAGTGTGCGTTTTTTTAACCTCACTTTCATTAACACCTACATCGTCGATTGTTTTTGTCTGTGGTTTCGTGGTTTTGCCATGATGCAAAACTACAAATTTATGAAGTTAACAATATTTTTTTTAATCGAAATGCACTCGTTGTTTGATGTTATATATTTTTGTTTTTATGCTTTTGCATGCTGCACCCTTCAGATTGGCAGAAGTTTGCATATGGTGCCAATGATAATCGCAAACGCGCTGTATTAATACAAACAAAAAAAAACAGCGAAGAACAACACAGGGACACAGACGAACGGAAGCAGGACAAGGCGCCTTCTCCTGTTTCCCTTCGTCTGTGTTCCTGCGTTTTTCGGCGCTGTTTTTTCGTTTGTCAATGACCCAACTATTTCAAATCCCCACTTTATTAGTGAATACAAATCATATATCTATACACCGTTTCACAATAAGTCCAACCGCGGCGAACCAATGACATGTAGCCAATAGAGAGGGACTAATAGTGGATCATCAAGTTGCTCGCTGTCTCGCGTTTGCTATCTGCGGCTAAACCGATCGCGTGCAGTATTAGAGGAGGATGAGGCCGCATTCACAGTGCGTGTTTTGTTTAGTCGCTGGTAGGGTACGCGCGAAGACAACGAACGCCGTGACAATGCACTGTCGGCACCATAGAGTTATTACAATGAACGCTAAAGTGTCTGGTGTCGCTAGTGTGCTTTTGAATATCGAAGCAGACAGCAACCAGTATAAATTGGACTTCTTCTAATGCATTCCTATGGGAAAACGCAAATGCATTTTCTGTTGGAGCTTGATTTTAAGAGCATATATTGACTAGTGTTGTAACAGAATAAAAGACTGTTAATATTTTACTATTGGATCTACAGAAATATGTGTCATAGCTTTCTTCTTCGGAATTCATGGCGTCGAACACTGCGCTAAAATAGCCCAATACACATTTTTATTACGTGTTGACGTTGCAGACTGCTATTATAGGGCACTCATTTACGCATATAGTGAGTGCTATGAAGCACACAGAGTGAAACACCTTCATAAAACAGCAAACAGATGCTAATATATGCCAAATCAAACAAGCAAAACACACAAGAACGAAGCATGGAGTTTTGGAACGAAGGACGCACACTGGATTAGTAACAAGCTGTGGGTAAGTAGCAAACGTACTGGGCTAGTAACGAATTGTAAGCACCTTTTATTTGTTCTTTTGATTGAATCCATAGCTTGTATTGACGTATTCTGCTGTCGAACATATACCTGGATCTCAAATAGTGCTAACTTAAACATCGCTCAGTAATGCAAAAAAAAAACATTAACTAAAAATTACACTTTTATCAGGGAATAAAGCTACATAGTGCCCGTTACAGGTAAATAAATTACGCTGATTTCTATTATTTCCTGGCCAAAAGATAAATATCACGTACGTTTTCCCATGGGAATACACAGGAAGACTGGAAAAGTTGAATGTGTGCGGACTCCTTCAATATGCAACCATGAGTTCCGTAGACACTAGGGCCAGACGAGCCTCTAGCGTTTATTGTAATAACTCTATTTTTAGCACTGCCTGATTAGATCCATCCAATTGTAATGTTGGCTGCAGTCAAATGTAGTGCGAAACAGTGAATAGAGCCGCTCGTTATATTTGCCTTATCATGAGGTTTTTAGATAACTCGGGCGGCCTGGTGACATGTCAGTGTTCAGGCAAGTCATCTTGATGGCTCGCCCCAATCGTCAGTCATCAAATTAAGTCGAGATTTGTTTTGATTTTCTTAAACGCCAAGAGGATGTATTTCTGACTTATCCTCTTGGCCCCTGTTAGAATAACATATTTGGTCATCTCGAAGCAGCCTCTCATAGTCGAGGCGGAATTACACACACGTGACTGAAAGAATGGAGTGTTAAATTTATCAATTGCTAGATAGTTCCTTCTATTTATTACTCTAATAACTTTTTTGTATTTACCTGCTGTATTTTCAAAAAATCGCATAACGAAAAAAAATAATATCCCAAATTTAAATAGGAAAATAAATGAAAGCGGCTCAGCATAGCAATGTGCCACCCCGCCAACAAAATTTGAACAAAATGTTGATACGCGGCAACATATAGTTATGTTGCCTTATCTGAAAAAGCGACGCGATTTCAAATGTATAACAAAAATAAAAGCTGTGCAAAGCCATGTTTTTTTTTCCTTTTGTTCCTTTTTACTTGCGCATAATCGGACATGATTAGGAAGAGAATAAAAATATTGGAAGAGGAAAATAAAGATTATTTTGAAGTTTCCTTTTTTAATAAAATTAAATTTTTTTTTTTGATTGCGGTGACTGTAGTTAGAGAGCTACGCTTAATTTATAGGCACTTCAACCTCTTTTTTTAACGATGCCATTTTGGTGCTTTGTGCAAAGAGAGTGCAACTGAAAATCGCAATGATTTGAAATTGGAACTTTCTGGATATGCAGTGTCAAAATGCTCGGCCGATGCCCTTCTTTTCTTTCTCCGAACTGTTTTATATTTTATTAGACGAACCTAGCCAATTTCTTGTGACTTCAGGTAAAGTCTAAGAGAGCTCATAACAATGATTTTAAACACTAAGATGGCTGAAGTGAGGCTACTCTAAGGGCTCACTTATTTAGCCTCTCTAGCCGTAGTTGTGCAATACCCTGAAATCTGAGATTTCTCAGCAAGAGTCAACAAAATGGCGCCATAACACGTGTACGTTCTACAAACAGGGCGAGGAGAAAATATTACAACATGTGCCAAACTGACATGTTAAAACCTGCAAAATATAAAAAAAAATATATATACGTTTCGATTGTTTGAAGTCCCTTGAAACCTCATTAATAAAGTCACCACGGCCTTTCTTAAGGAGTGTCTGAATACAGTATTTTTTTAGCGCAAAAGCTAGCAACGTAAACACAAGAAATGACGCGAATAAAGCCTCAAACATCCCGTCGCACAAAAAGGTCAACCAATGATTATCACGAAAGTTTCGGATGACCTCTCAGTTACCAAGCCGCGCTTCAGCTTTCGGAAATGTCACAGCTAACGTCCATATCGTTCTGAGTCACAAACCACATCGTTGTGCGCGTTGGGGGTGTTTAATGCTCCACACGAGAACCTCTTTATGAACAATTAAAAGCCGACGTCACTACGCTAAACTTTATTGCGCAAAGGCTTGGACATGTTTTTAAAAAAGTATCGGGCTTGGGTGAGCACTGAGAAGAGATGTCTGTTCTTCTAGCTTTAGTGCTAGTCTGTGCCATGGTGGCGGAGGGTCTTCTGGCAAGTGAGTTAGGCATAGGTCATTTGTAAATATCATCTATGCCTGTGCAGATTGAAAGTACACTAATCGTGTCCGTGAGATATTCAATATTATTATGGTAGTCTTTCTGTAGCGCTTTTTCGTATAATGTTATTTGAAACTATCAAAAAAATGGTATTAATCAGCTACATAAATAGACGGTAAAGAAGCCAGGCGACAAGAGGCGCGAGAAGAAAGCCTCACGCGCTCGCGGAAAGAGATTCGGCGAATCGGCCATGCTGCACCACGACAACCATTTGAGCCTAATGCAGATATTGTAAGTGAACAATGCATATGCGAGTCTTTACAAGGGTGTTCGTGAGAGGATAGGAGATAAGTTACCGAAATTGCATCTCAAAGTTCTTTAGTCTGCACCTCAATTCTTTATAAGAAACCTGAGTGCCAAATATTTTTCTTAAGTGATCTACATCGCTCAAAGAGCATCATTGGGGGTTACACCAACTAAATGTACCATATACAAAATATGAATGTAGATTTCACATATTTTTTATTGTGAAAACTTATATGACACTAGTTACAACAAGCATCTTGCGAAACTTGGGACATGTTCGAATGCGTTGAGAATCATAAATGTGTGTTGCTTTTGGTTGTGGATAGTAAACTATAAGGAAAGACCCGTCGACAATTTCCGTGGGGCACTTATTATCTCATATCTTCTCCCGGAGTTGTTTCATTGTGAAGTAAAATGTGGTATATTTATGTTTTTCTTTATCAACATCAACTTGATTATTAGAAATAGCATATATATTTTAGACAAAAGCCTTTCCTCTATTTATAAAAAACGTTTCTAGTGGAGTTCACACGTAATGTGAATAATCATAAAACCCACTCAGCTCCCGTTAAGGGCGGTCAAAACCAAACAAGAATGCGGGTGCGGGAGGGTGCGGGAGCCGTAACACGGCCATATATTTATCACTTCTGGGGCCCGTTACGGTTAGAAAGTGCGCAGTTGTGTTTGGTAAATAAGTAAACAACAGGCAGTTTTAGTAAATTGGCCCGATACCTCAAAAACTCAATTTTATGCATGCGCAAAGGCGTCGACGGAGAGTCGGGTGTTTATCCAAGTCATCGAATCTACTAAACTTTCTAATAAAAAGTTACCCTCCACAATATTTATACAAGCTATATTTGCTAGCGCACATTACTAGCGAACAATCTTCATGGTAATTAGTCAACAGTTTTGCGGTTTCGCCGAGCGTTTTTCGCAAGCAAACGATACGGAAGTGCAGAGTGCGTACGCATAGCCGCTTTATACTTCACGGAGCAATAGACAGGGGGCACTGATGCTACCGAGAGCTAAGCGAAGCGGTGTTCACACTTATAGATTATCCCTCAACCTATCTCTCACCCCATGTGTTACTTAAAATCACTTTATGTATTTATAGCATTTTTATCCTACCATTGATAATAGGGTTGACATTTCACTGGAACAATACGCAATCTTTACAAAAAAACGTGTTGTTCATCCGTTGCTTCAGATTCCTGCTCTTTATCTACCGCCAACAGTATGACACAAACAAGTACAACTTCTGTTAAGAAGTCAATATGATATCTTGTCTGAGTCCCATGAACCAAAATATGAAAATGTTCGGAACTGCTGGGGTAGAAGTGTTTTTCATATCCACTGTCTGTGCGTCACGGAGTTGTCAATTCCCTAATTAAATTTCCGCTCCTTATATATCTCTTATCCAGGAAAATTTCCATACAGTCTTTTTTTTTAGACAAACAAAGTGTTATCATTAGAGTTATGCGGTCCAGCACTTTCTCCTTACTGACTCATGGTACAAGAAAAACAAAAAGAACATACAGGATTGAACAGGACGTAAAAGAGCAAACGAAAATGTTCCTTATATATCGTGATTCAAAGAATTGTTCGTAATTGGTAGTCTCATTTTGCTTCGAACATCTGCTTTCGTACAGATATTTTTAAAGGCATTGACTTATCACGTTGACCTGGAAGCCTTTGCGTTTTGGCAACGCATCTAGAATAATAAGTATTTCATATTAGTTTTGCATGCTAGAGTCTTGCAATTTATCAAGGTGCGGGCATTCCTGTATATAGGTTTTGTTTAAAGAGCAAAAAATGATGTTTTTATCAGTAGCTGCAAATACTTTACATAGTGTTCTGTCTCATGGAGGTCTCCAGCCTTTTGCAATTCATATTTAGAAATAAAGACGACGTAATTCTTGATCAAGCTTTGAAGGCGAGTGTGTAGGTGGAATTGCGGAACATTAAAACCCACGATTAAAAAAGGAAGAAGTAAAATTGTTTAGTCATTTCTTTATTTTTTTGCCCAGTCTAATGCCCTATTGGGCAGGAAGAACGTTGTTTTTTTTTAACTTAAAAAGTCTTAATTCTTTTTTTACTTGTTTGGTGCATTTTGATGTTTAGTGGTAACTTTCCCTTGAGGGAATAGTGTCTTTCAATATTTTTTGTAACCAATCCACAACATAGGTTCACTTTTATGGAATGGTATACTGCCGTAGCATGCAAGGGGATCTTTTTATTCCGTTAAATTGGGTTAGATTTGTTGTGCCTCCTCTCTACATGAAACAAATTATAGAAAAACCTTGATCTTCACTAAATTAAGGCACTTTGTTTAGTAAAATGTGCACGTGACTTCCTTTAGTACGGGTGCACGTGGTGCCACTTGCATAACATGTACTTTAATGCGACACGTTCTACCCGGCGTCAAATGTGTTACCTGAGAAGCGCGAGAGCCAGGCGTGTTTAAAATTGCACCTTTTAAGATTTCCGCAGTTACGAAAAACCTCAAACGTAAATATTGCTGTTAGGCACATCAACTGCGGCAAGAACCTTACGCTGTGATCTTGAACGCAGGGCCTTCTGCGGAGTATGTTGTTTATCCTAAGCTTCTGGAAGCAAGAGGATTGAATGGAGGAAAACTTCTTCACATCAAAGAGAAACTTACTCTTCGTTTAGAAAAAAGCTCCGTACTCGCTGAAAATTTCGTAGGATCGAGCCTTAATGGCGACAAACAAGTGGATAGCATTGTAAGTATTTTTGTTACTTTAAGAACCCCGTCGTTGTTTTCTTTGTTCAACTTCCTAGTTCATTTGTGATTCTTAAATATGCATCTACTGAAATATAAAAGAGATCTGGTATATGATGTCATGCCGAAAGGCGTTGCCTTGATATTCTACTTCAGAGCAAAAAACTTGTATGTCATATTTGAATTTCGAAATTCGCAGACGCAGGAAGCGAAAAAGGTATAGGCTTTGTAGCGTATGGGAAACAGAGCACGGCTTTGAAAACAGCTCCACATTTAATTTTTAATTGTTTTATGCTTATGCTTGTTGCATCCTTATGTATTTCTTAGGATTGAGCATCAAGATGTAAGTACCTTTTAAATATATTTTATTTTGGCTGATATAAAATTTTATTTTGAACACCTGTCAATTAATCATATTACTGACCTTACGGTCGCTTCCAACAGAATTTTCACCTTCGATACCTACTTCTAGTCTTTTGCGTCCTCTTTCGTGTAAGAAATAATTTATTTATATTTAAAAATGTACAAACGTTTTCACAAAAAAGGCTCATGACGGCTGCATAATTTTAGCAAACTGCAAGCCATACCACCGCTCTTCATTCATAAAATAACAGACACAAATGACGGCTCATCGATGGTTCCGTCTGGTATTTTAGTCCCTTATTTTCTATCTTTGTCTTTAAGGTGGATGGGGGAGAAGTGGAAAAGAACATTTACCATGATAAAAGTCAGATGGCAGTGCTATCTGTGACAGAGAAAGACGGCTCTGTGGAAGTGGTAAGGAGATCTCACTTATCGGATCCATGCCTATACTTCGTAATTCATAAAGTATCTACCATAAGAGAAAACAAGTTTAAAGCTGATATTGACAAATAGAGTGATTCCCATTTGGTTTAATGCGAGCAGCGTTCATTCCAGCCTCTTGGCACATTTTCGGTTTATCCTAGCGTTCTTTTCATATCTATGTATACTCAAAGATATCATGCTTCTTGTGCAAGCAATTTCTTTCACTGGTGACGTCTTTTTTAGTTCGAAATGGCAGATCATACTTTCAGGTTTATCAACTTCCTAGGCTGACCAAGCAGATGAACTGATATTGAGCGAACTAGACTAAACATACCGCTGGCCTGATTGGCATTCCTAGTATTGATGAGGCCTTAAGTACCTTTGCTGTGGAAGTTACCCAGCTAGTGCTATATTTGACTTTTATTGGTCATGAAAATGCGAGATTTCATTTATTTTTGTTTTCGTCTTGTCAACGTATTGGACTAACGGAGTAAGTCTATCTTTTATCACCATATTTTCACGTATATGCCTACCGCAATCCTTTCGAATGCAATGACAACGTAGTATCGTCATCACGTTTACATGGCCCTACCGTCGGATTTGAACCGATACAACGCGTGCCCTCCTTCAACTGTGGGGCAGGAATGCATCGTAATACACAATTGCAATTTTTGTTGATTGGATTTGTAATGCATAACTCATTCAATTGAAACAGAACACAATACACTGCAGATTTGTATCTCCCTCTTCAGATTTAAAACAGCTATTTAAGCACGGTTTATTAGAAGCTTCAAACAACACAAGATGTTCTCACCGTGAAGCCGATAACTTACAAATGCCTAATGAAAAATGTCAATACGTTATCTACGTAGATTATGGGTACGGTCCCGTGTTTTCGAATAACACCTCACCCCCTCCCCCCCCCCCCCCCCCCCCTCCGCCCCCAAAAAGAAAAAGATAGAAACGCCATTGAATTGTTTGTCAATACAGATTTATCCGAAGAACTCCAAAATTTGAGGTCGTAACAAAAAACATAAAATAAAAAGCAAAAAGCCTGTGTCTTACGAATTAACTTCACAAAAGCCCAAAGTCAGTGGATCTGAGGAAACTTCAGTTTCTTTTGAAATCTTGAACTACTCACAAAAGGGGTATGCCTCTTAACTCGTCAAGCTTCCTTCAGAACAACGGTTGACGGTACTGGACTTCATTTATTTATTTATTTGATTTTAAAATAGAAACACAATAAAATTAACTCCGAATATGAAAAGTGGGAATCTCAAAAATAAACTTCAATAAACCTCGACATTTCAGCGAAAAATTACCTCTGAGAAACACCCTCCGCCTTTCGTAAAAAAACATAAACCCCGAAAACACAGAATCCTGATTATGGGCAAAGAGATATTTAAGTGCTCTGGACGCCATTTTTAATGGAACTCAACACTCTAATAAAGAAGTTTCTCCTTTTTCTTATTCAAATTGTAAAACGTCTAATCTATAATTGAGCTTATTGTTGCATGTACTTTACGACAAGTTTATAAAAACATTTCGTTCAAAAATAGAGGTAACTTTGATTGGAGCCAAGTCGATATTTTTGTCCAATAGCAAAATTGAGAACATGACTTGGTATAATGGCTGTGCTTTTGAATAAAACAAAAATATACGGCTAGTAAAAATTATGCCACGGAGCACTGCAAGCCACGAGATTTTTTTTTGACAAACACACCAGAGTAATGTAAAGGGATAATATAACGAAATTTCGGCGCTCGTTTTTTGGGCTCTATGTGTTCAAAGGAGCAGCATCACATCGAACATACCAATATCTTGTTAAAAAAGTCACGAAACAGAATTTTAAAACGAATTAAACGATTAGCAAAGAGCACTTGGGGGATGTCGCTAACGCCTCGTTTGTAATGCCCGTCTAGGAACCTCGACAGCTAGTGACCGAGGTTGTCTCGCCTCCGGCCACGACGACAGATGAGGGGAAGGAGGAACTCCCCTCTTCCCGAGAATGCCTTTTGTGTGTCGGAGAAGTCTCTATTGGTCCCCCTACAAGATTACAGAAGATTAGCTTGTCACTCATAAATCGTACAAAAGCAGCCACCTCGGTGGCTGGAACGACTAGGACATCCTCTCGACGTCAGCCTCGTCGTAGCTTTGCTCGTCCTGAGACGACCTACGTCACGATTGCGTTGGGTGTCACGTGGTCTCCGCTGGGCCTTTCCCGAGCGCTTGCCAGAGTGGGCCGTTTATAACAAAAAATACAGCCACCAGGCTCAAAATATAAGCGTGCGACTGTCATTTACGGATATTGTGGATCATATTCAACCTATTTTTGAACACGACGGGAATATTTCAAATTTCGTTGAAGTATCCCTTTAAGTCTAGGCACTAATGTGACGTATCTAATATTGATATGAAGGGGTGCCTTCTTGTCTCCTTCACAAGCGAGAGAAATCTTCAGGGGTGGTGGCTTTGCCTAGCAGAAATTTTTCGAGATAGCTCTTTATATTTCAAAATTAGAGTGTATCAGTATATATATAGTGTTCATATAACACACGGTGATCATGTAGGGTTTCGGCAGTAATTTCAGAAACAGGACCATATTATATAAATTAACCTAACAGCTATTTTTTTCAAATAGAAAGTACAACAAAAACTTTATTACACTTCCAAAAAAAAACGTAGAAGTTTACTTTATATAGTTTATTCTTGTTTTATCAATACTAGAAATAATTTCTGCTCAAATTATCTTACATGTCGCCTAAGAAAACGATCGATTACCTGTGATATCGCTCATACATATTACGATAAAAAAGAAATAACAACATTTTTAGTAGGCGCTTTGATGGGCAGTGTTTTATTGAAATCCAAATTCATGTCAAGAGTAAAAGTATTCTCATAGCATTATCACGGTAGGTTAGCATGATTATCTCAAATTCTTTTTCCAAGATTTAAAGTGCGAAGAGGAGATGTTATTCTGGTCAATAGGCCTATATCGTGACGCATCGCTAATTTTAAAACGGAAGTGCTTTAGATAATTTTAATATTTCCGCAAATAAATTTCCGCAAATATTCTACACTGGTGTGTAGAATAAATCTGGCCAATTGCAGCCAGCATCTGCCGACGTCCCTGGTTGTGGGTGCAAGGAGTGCAGAGCGTCGTTCTACTAGATAAAACAGCTCACGACAAGACAAAAAAATGTCAAAAATGATTTCTCAACACCTTGCTTCCGCTCAAATAGCCGCATTGCAAAACAATAACTGTCCCGATCGGAGCCTGTGCAGCTCAAAGTACCGCGATGGTACCCAAAATGGCGCCAAGATACTCCGAGCCGTGCATTCTAACGACTATGGCTGTTACCACAGTCCCCTCTACATGGGAAATGCCTCGAAAGACTGGAATATAAAAAAGGCATAAATTAAAATGAACATTAACTGAAAAGCCTGTCGGTAACCTTGACTGCCAACAAAAAGAATAAAACAAACTCGGGACGAGGGACGACGAACAATTACTAAATTTAACATGAAACTGCAAAACGTATAACATTCGCCACAGTTCAACCTGGTACATTCACCACGCTCGCAATAACCACAAATAATTGATCGCTGTTTTTATTATTGACATTTTTACCGAGTTATCTTAATCATTAGACTAAAAACCCCTTTTTTTCAATTACGCAAACAATCGGTGTTATTGTGTATCTTTTCTGTCTTGCTTTATTTTTTAAAATGACGATAATGCAATTAAAGCAAAGGTGCAAGCCAGCTGAACAAGAACTAGTTTAATGGAGCCGTTCCTTGTTTGATACCAGGACCAGGCGGATTCTTTTTAGTCGCGCACCAATCACCTAGTGTTTGCAGATTTGTGCTTATCCTTTCTCCCACACGTTCTTTTTCTCCTGTGACTATAATCTTTTTTCTTGTCCACCTCGCTTACTACTATTGCACAATTTTTTTATTATCATCATAACCTTAAAATGCACGCCGTTCACCTTTCTTAAGCCTGGTTCAGACAGTTGCGTTAGACTGCGTTTGACTGCGTTGCGGCTGCGACAACCCAGGCTCGCTTTCGGTTCCCGACGGAACGCAGTAAAACGCACTCAAACGCAAGTGTCTCAACCGGCCTCTAGTGTTAGAGTGGTGGCAGCTCTTAAAACCAGTTTGCTCCACTGACGTCTAACTCCTTGTCAGCTTAGTTATTAGAGCGCTCCACTGGAAATGGAGGCGCCTGGTTGAATGCCAAGACCAGGCGAATTTTTTCAGCAGCCCACCAGTCACCTAGCTCTGTTGGGAGATTTGTGTTTGTCCTTTGTCCCACTTGTTCACCTCCTCCATGGAATATTATCGATATTTAACACATATATTCTGTCGTGTGTTTGCGACGTAAATCACCGAATCGTTCATTATAGAAACATTTTATGTGTGTGTTTGTGTGTGTGTGTGTGGGGGGGGGGGGGTGCAGACCCAGTCCAGCCGCATATTTTATTACTTCTTCCATGTACCCCCGAAGTGTTGTAAAATTTGTGTAAAATAAATTTAGAAAAAAAAAAACTTTTAAAATTTTACGCGAAAGCCATGGAGTGTTTTCCGCCATAAAAGAGACAGAAGGAGCGATGTAAACACCGGCAGCGGTCGTTCTCCACACTCTAAAGGTGGTATGGAAAATACTCTTAGGTTGGCTAAACAGCCCACCTTTTGGGTATCAACCCTTCATACTATGATTTTTCATTTTCTACAACACCGCTATTTTGCTATTCAGTACAGAGTAAACAAAATTGGCAAAAGTCTGTGTTGGAAAATGCTACTTCACTGTATATAAATTGTCAAGAAGCTCGGGCGACATCGTTCGGCGTTCGCATTGACTGCTTGAACATTTCAAGATGACAAATACACATTACTTTTAATACGGCTTCCGATAACTGGAGCAACAAGATGGCAGACGGCGCGTTACTTGTAACTCAGTTTTTTTAATGGTTCTATCTACATTCATACATATCAAAATTCATACTGGGTAAAACTTGCATGTGTTTCTATCTTCGCTGCTAAATTTTGAAAGAACGTATGCGAACTATTGCAATCACGCTGAAAGGGTTAGTTTCCGGTAGCGCTCTAAGGATATGGAGCATTAGGCGAATGCGCTTTTTTCAGCAGCGAACAAAACGTTTCTAGTGCCACGAGTATTTCATACAATTGGGTAGACACATGTGAGATGTCATTACAAACAGTACCTCTCCCGATAATAATCTGTGATGTAATATCGCAACTTCTATATAGCATACAACAAGAATCGCTTAGCCAGTTTATAATACATTCGTGGGGAACCAGCTGAACATGGGAAGCCAGTAAGGAACAAATGAAAAAACCAGCGGCTGGTTGGCTTTCCCCATCTCCTTCCTTCCTTTCTATGTTCAGCTGGTTCCACCCGACTTGTATGTAGCATCCAGTAAAGCTTCACCAGCTCCTGAATTTCGTGATTGCATACTACAGTTAGGTTATGGACTGATTTTTTCAAAAGAAAACCTTATGTAAAGGTAAGTTTGTTTTTTGCTTTTTTTTTTGTTTTTTGTTTGAGCGTACATATGTCATAATTCTAAAAATGCATTCATAATCGCGCACTATCGCGCACAGGTTCATTAATCATAGCTCCTATATGTTTCAACACCTTTCTGAAAATAACTTTATTGCTCAATAGATTAATTTTGACTTTTTATTAGTAATATACATTCTACAAAGATATTCAAAAACGGTACTAACACAACCCATTTTTCAATATTCTCATGAATTAAAAACAAAACTCATGTCAAGAATATAGAACGTATGATTTATTTAGACGAACTGCAGTCTGCAAATAAAGAGGTGAAGTTCATTTTAAGACGAAATTTGTGTGTAAACATCGCACAATTTTCTCGAAAAGAACTGATTGCATTAGACGCCGCTGCTTTGCATTAAGACTTAGATCTGTTATTATGACGATATGAAAAATGTAAAATAAACTTCGACTTAAAACAGTGTTGTTATACTCTATTCATTAGAACGCGCAAACCTATTTTTTCATTCTATCATCTGAACGGTCACTGGCTTAATGAGGTTGATCATTTTAAGTACCTAGGAGTTTATTCTCCTTCTGCTTTGACTTGAAATAAGCACATAACTGAATAAACCAATATACCTAGTGGTACATCATATTTCATCAAACGTAACTTCAAAAGGGCACCTGTGTATCTAAAGGAAGCACTCTATGACACAAACGTTCGGCCAGTTTTCGCGTACGCGTGTACGGTTTTGGACTCCCAAACTCAGAATTTAATTTATTAATTGGAACGTATCTAATATCGTGCAGTTCCTTTTGTAGGTGGCAACTAAAAATTTAACTTCAGCATTTCAAACATTAAACAACAACTTGAATGGAATCTTCTATGCAACCAAAAAACTTTTCACGTTTTAGGTTATTTTACAATGATTTTCTGATCAAAATAGCTTCAATAAAAACGCTTATACAAGGGATATGCATTATATCTCGAAACAAATTATCACCGGTTTAACATTTGTGACAGTTCATCTCGCTGACATACGTTTCTGCGTTCTACTGTAGGCTTCTTCTCGTTAAGTGTCGGTTATTTTGTGTTATCCTTCTTAGCGTACATTGTGCTGTGTGTGTTTTTGTGATGTTCCAACACCTTACAATAATTCCCCCTGGACGAGGTAGGTCCAGGCGTAAATAAAAACATCAATAAGCCCATGGCTCTGACGTAACGTTACTGCGTTGCCACTGCTGTGTTCACAGTGCATACGCAGACGCCTCACCGAAATCTGGTTTTTGCAGACGCGCAGTGCCCATACCTTGTGTGGGAAAACCCTGATTTCTTTGTAAACAGCATGCTGGTGTATATATAGAGTCTAAGTGACCCGCATCTTTTTACGCAAACGAAAGCTACGAACTTCGCCATTAACTCTGACTTTCCAGAATTGACATAAGAAAACGCCACAGTAAAACTAACGGCTGTTTTTCGGGTGAAAAGCAGCAGCGCTAACTCACTGTTCTTAATTTGTTTCCATTCCCATGGCAGGATTGCAACACTAACCAATTAAAAGTATTAATACAATGTTTTATTTTGCAGTACCAACGGAACGGAGTATCCTGGCAAGGCCAGGTAAGTCGTCACATATTAACACTAGTAATTATGTTTGTTTAAAGATTTTATACTTTAATTGCGCAACGTCTACGAGAGTTATAATAGTTTTAAGATATGTTCATATAGCTGTCATGTTTTGTTAGGTTATATTTACAATAAAATAATCCTAAGTCCGATATCAGTTGTAAATTGCAGGACCCGGTCAGCGCGAACCTAACATCGGTGATTCTTCACATTGTATTTGCACAATATAGCGTCTGATAGAAATACGTGTCATATAATTTAATGCCTCGTATAAGCACATTTCACTTGACAGCAGTTTTGATGACTTTGTAATCGCAAAAGTACATTGATGACACCGAAAACAAAAAGTTGATGCCCTCGGGACCCGTAAATACTCGCGCGCCTCAAGCCAAAGAGAACACGAGGAACATCAACCGGTCGGTTGTTCTTTGCTCTTTTTTTTCTACAGCATCTTTTCAGCAGAGTGAAAATATCTTATTCCTACTAATTGTGCCTCGATTTTTAAACAATACAAGAAATAATTCATCAGAAGAACAAGCATTATTATATTGCTCCATCACCTTCGATCACAAATGAAGGTATTCAAATAGAGTTAAAGTAGAGAAAGCGATGCATGATGAGGAGAGTAAAAGGAGGCCTAGAAGCATTTGGAAATATTCACATCGGGACATGCCACGAAGAACCATTCCAGACACGGGAGTGGGAGGAAACAAAAACACCCACTTCGGTAGAACGTAGTTCATTTGGGCTTCGAAGGTTTGTACTTAGGAAGCTTCGTTAAGTCGTTAATACGTGGCAGTCATAAAATTGTTTTATATTTTAGACTTGTTTAACTTCAAGACTTCAACACAAGTGCAGCAATATTTGTAATTTACAGCTGGCTTTGGACCGTAAAAAGATGTTCTGGAAGAGTAGCGAGGCTGTTTCTAATTCTATTTTATGATCTTGGACACACATATCTATTGACTCTTGCCTTATTTATGACTGAAATTGAAGCATAGCCATTGCCATACATTACTTGCGTATTCACACTTGTCTTTGTCCATAATGTCCAACTTGATGAAATACTATGTTATATAAACACTTTCGTTTTATTGTGCCACCTCGATGACATTCTGTTTTCCATGAATCCGAGCCCAAGTACGAATTCCCCCCGAGTTCCAAATCGAGGTGTCGTTTATCTTCGATGCATACCACAGCCGGCACTTTTCAAATGATGAAAGCCTCTTAGAATACGCTGCACTTAGTGTTCAAATGGTATGACTTCTTTCATAAACAATATGATACTATGTTCGTTTTAGTTCTGTTTTTTACTTCCCACTCAACACAACTTTGGGAACTCTTTTTCATCTGCAAAAATTAAGTGTTAATATAACGTTACGCAGAGCTTTTTTCAGGTAAAAACAAGTCGCTTCATAACTTGCTCAGGTTTTACCTTTAGTACAAGTATAATACTATTACTGTATTCTTTGAGCATAATAGCAAACACATGAACGCCACGATTAAACGTGATCAGAAACTATTGATGTTTAAACTCTAAACGTTTTTAGTGACGAGCAGCTTAAGTGTGTTCCATCATGCACTGAGAAATGCCATGAAGTTAAAACAAATACTTCAGAGCACCTTCTGTTCGTGGTCAAAACAATCTGTCTCCAAAACATGCTCACTTTGGCTCGTTCTTCGGAGTTTTATTCGCAAACTTTCGATTCTAATTAGAACCCAAGTACAACTTGCTGACCTGGTCACGCGAAAATAGTTTTACTTTTTCACTACCTTCGGAAGAAATAAGAATCTATACCGTAAAACTAGAGTATCGGAGAGCTACTTGGTAATTAATTGATATAACCAAATAAAAATATAAACGTTTAGACATTGAATAGGCGACAGGTCGTAGAGCGAGGCACGTTTAGGTTTGACAAAAAATTTAAGAAATTAGGCTTCTGTGTTTTGGTTCGCAAAGGCTGAGCTTCTGTTTTGTATCCTGGCTGCACAACTGCAGCATCTTTTTATATAACACAAATTTGAGTGCGAGACGCGCTCAGCAACTGTAGCTTGAAGCCAACTATGTTTTATTTTAAAAAGAAACATGCCTCGTTTTTTCCCAAGACGTGAACTTGAATTTCTTTAGTGTGAACGATTACACTCAAAGTAAGACGAAAACCGTTCAATTTAAGTTTATGCGAATCGCATCTAAACATAAAAAAACTAAACAAACACAAGTTGTAGTGCTACAGCGTAAGCGAAAAAGACAAAAGCTCCAAAACTCAACCGTAGTTATTCCTGCATAATCAGTCCAAGACATGGTTGTTTTGTAATTATTTTGTGGTCCTTAATCATAGCCCAAATGCAGAGGTGTAGACTGGTATCTGTTTTAGCCGGAAAGGGGGGGGGGGGTGGTAACCTTATCAGCTCCCTACCCCCCCCCCCCCCCCCGCCCTTCTTGGCTGCGCCTCTGCTCAATTTTTGTTCGTTATACGCTAATATAAAATACGTTCTAATCTTTACCCCACTTCGTCTCAAGGTGAACCTACGATACGAGGCTACTTCCAGCCCAAGAATCACTTTTCTCCTGGTCAATGTTATGACACTAAAAGGGGTAATTACATTTTCATCTGTACCTCTCATATAATCGCTGTCTTTTTTTGCGTTGTTGAAAAGACCATTATGCAAAATCATATCTTCCTCTAGGGGGACTTTTTTACGAAAACGATAGAGGCACCAGATAACTTGAGGCCAACTCGCAGTAAAAGATACATGCTCTCTCGAACTACCATCAACAGTTTTGCGGATGCTATTAAAATAAAAAATGTCGATGTTAAAGCAGACCTGGCCGTCTTGATTACATCGTAAGTGCAATCAATTTACATATTGTTTATTTAAAGCAAGGGCTAATTTGAAGTGATTAGGCCAATCAAAGTTCATTTCACTTATGAGAAGAAATAGGGCTTGTTGCAATGCTTTGCTATGTTCTTTCACAAACGCTTTTTTTTTTCATTGTACCTTAAATAAATCAATCAATCAACTAATAACGTGTTTTACTGCACCCCGCACTGTTAGGCCTTAAGAGGGGTGCACGTAAAGGAAGCGAAACAAAAACTAGGGAGGAGGTATCACTAACAGACTTTTCTTGGACTTTAATTTTTAAATATTGAAGTCCACGTTAGAGTGTACCCTACATAAGCGGCATTCGTGTGACTGGAAGGCTAAACTTATCCCGGATTCAGTGTTCTTAAGCGTGCCTCCATATTCATTTGTTGGTTTATTTAACTACTCAGAGTCTTAAATGTAAACATTTCGGCAGAACTCCGCCTTGTAAGTTAGGCAATATGAAAGGGGTAGCTAATATTGAATATATTTCTGATATAATATAATTTCATATATATGTATATATATATGTCATTCCATGTTTTCGGAGTTTTTTTTTTATTTGGGGGTATTTTTACGAGTTAATTTCTTCTTACTGAATCGGTGTTTTTTGTGTAAATTTGTTATGACTTAAACCGAATTACACAAAAGCAGCGAATCTGCAGGGAAAATTAAACACCCTGAAAAATTCTCCCAAATTCGAGAAAAAATAAACCCCGAAAACACGGAACCCTAATTATATATTGTTTTACTACATAGTAATATATTGTGTTATATAATAATATAGACTATATAATATATAAGCAATATAAGCCACAAGCAATACTTTCTATCATGCCATTCCGGGTAAATATACAACTAAATGGAAACAAGAAAAGGTTATAAAAATATTAAAGACGTTTACAATTCTCTGTAGTACCGAATCAGAGTGCATCTCTTGAGGAGGAGGTGGGAAAAATCCGGAGAAGAGGGTGTGCCCTTTTTCTACTTCATACCCTCCCCCCTCCTTCTCTCCTTGTCCCCTCCAGTCTAGCGAGAAATTTACCAATATTTTCCCACTAAATTTAGCAGTAATGTAGTGAAATTTTTTTCTCTAAATATTGCGGGGAAATTTAATTGGTTTGAGGTCACGTGACGTCAATTTCCTCGCTAAATTTAGCGGTAAAATTTTTTCGCTAATTTTAGTGGAAAAGGTTTTTGCTAAATTTAACGTGATGTCACACGTGACATCATGTGACGTGACGAAGGCGAAATGTTGCCGGTAAGATTGGTGATAACATTTTTCCGGCAAAAGGTAACGAAAACGTTTGCCCGCTTAATTTAGCGGAAAAGCTTTCCAGCTAAATTTTGTGGGAGACTTTTCCCGGGTTGAGTGGCGTCACGTGTGACGTCATTATGGGGAGCATCCCGTAATGGGGAGCGCGGTTACGCCGACGGCGACGGCGACGTGGCTCAATCCGGAAACGGGCGCCTAAGGGCTGCGCTCCCCTAAAACAAAGTACAGTAATTTCAAACTTATTTCATGAATGCTCGAAGCAGTGAATGGTGCTAACAAGGTTTATGAACAGGTGATTGCTAATAACTGATACAGCATAGGAATGAAGGTAGTTTCAGTCAAAGAAGTCTTACGGAGGAATGAAGAATAAATTGTATTAGTCGTACAATTCAGGCCACCTACTTCAAACTGATGGTCAATGTGCAGTGTATTATTAAGCCGCGATGCTCCTGGCCAAGAAGCCAGACTTTGTTACCCCAAGGATCCGTACTTCCAAACCCTCATTTTACAAAAATTATGTTTATTTAAAAATGTCGCTTGATATCGTTGGTGTCTAATATCCTATGCGCGGTGCACCTGTATGACATTCTAATATCCGAACCACATTAAAAACTTTAAAGGGTAATTAGACGCATGTCACTTGCGAATCGACTAAGTAAGATTATCTTCTGATCACTGGAATATAAGTGAGCTGAATGTCGTCTATACTGTAGCCCACCATAACAAGGGGGCCCAGCAGAAATTCGGCAGAAACGTGACGTCCAAGGCAGAAAAGCAATGCTTTATTAATTTTTTTCTTAAAAATACCGCAGTGTCTTGACACAGCAATATAACAGTTGGCAATTATAATCCAGGATGTTATCCTTAATCAAGGTTTATAAACATAACTAGTGATGAAAGTAGTCTCAAGCATCATTAATGGCATTCCCATCCTAGGCGTTTACTGTGGGCAGTAGCCAGATTAAGGTAAAAATAATTAAAATTGCTATATGTTTTACTCGTATTAACAGAATAAATCAAAAATAAAACAAAATGCTACCTCTAAGCGTAATTTACGCAGGCCATCAAATGAATCGTTTATCCTCGGCATCTGGCGCTTTTGTACACGTTATAGAGCAGGTTGCTTGTTCTATGTTCTTACGAATGGTGTAGTCACTGACAGGTTAAAAAGCGCCGGCTTTAGGATTTTGACTTCTTGATTCGATGCAGCAATCTTATTTGCGGAGGGCGATAAAAGTATTTTTGCGAGTAGCCATGCCCGCGCCCAGGAACGGAACAAGGAAACTAACGTGTTTTAATGTAAGAAAGCATTACTTAACCGAGTTTAATGACCGTTTATCATCTCTCTAGGCTGGACCTTGCAGATTTTGTTAATGGCCAGCTTTCCAACAGCGTCCTGGGTACGAAATAGACGTTGAACGCCTATGTTTAATTCATGAAGAAAAAGACCGTAATTATTCTTGCATGCGCTTGAACACAGACCCTTATGTATAGAGTGGCACCGTAACTTATATTTCTCCAAGACTTGGAACCACCTTAAGAAATTACTCTATTTGTCGATTGAAAAATGCAGCTCTAGATGCTTTCAAACGCTCACCCCGTAATCAACTTGCTGGAAATACGAAAATGGTAGAGACATTACCGAAGCTAGTTGAATACAATCAGTATTAAATTAATAATAAAAATATATTGCTAAATGCTACAAGGAAGCAGCCATCTACATAAGGAAAAAAATTAGAAAGCTAACAGATTGCTTACTCTCTGTGTGCGCAAACTCTACCTCTGGCGATAACGCCGTTATTGTGAGATCGATATTCAAATATACTTTAGTCAGGACTCTTTCGGGGGCATGCCCCGTGAAGTAACGTACGTCACGAAGGTACAACCGGTTTCTAGTTTACAATAAAAAACGATTTTGATTAGAAAGAAGATAGCGAAACCGAACTGATCGGTGAGAATCACCGTGGATTTTTTTGTGTTCCGTAAGATACTCGTCCAATTTAGGTCCACCATTTGTGCACAAAATACAAAATGCTACTTTTCCGCAGTGTCCAAACCAGTAATCTGACATTCATATAACTATCCGATCGGCACTCGAGCCTTCCCCACCGTGCCACCTCCACAATCTCTGATTTTCCGCGAATCGTAATATTTAACCCGTTTCTTATTGCTAGGAAAATCGAGGTGCGGACGTTATCAACAAAAAGTTGAGATTGGTGCACGAAAGCCCAAGTCACTCTGGCGTCTCGTGCGTCGTTGCCGCTGGTGTGACTTGGTGCCTCATTTTGTCAGGCATTATGTTGTTTTTCTTTCAACTCTGCAGTCTCTTTATAGCGTGAAGAGTGATCAATTTCTAAGATCTATCGTGTGGCTCATCCGTCGTGAATAAACAATGCATCCGTAGTCTTAATGGCAATCTATACCCCGTATATAGCTACACTTCAGGAGGCATATCAATGAGTTTTATGCTTTTTAAACATATAGACTTTTATAGGCTTATTCTTCTCGGCCAGGGGTGCTACAGTCCGCAAGACTTCACCACAAAAGAGGTGCAATCCTCAGGTAGCGTCCGGGATACGTGACGATTTCATTAAAGTGCCTGGTACGCGTCTTCAACTGTTGTGTTTACGCCTCGTCAGAAAAAGTGGTCCCTCGGTTTCCGCCTGATAACAAAGTGTCATGCTGTCGTCGGTCGTGATCGTGGCGGAGTCCCAACAGCTGTGGTGCAAGTGGCAGACACCTGTTCTGCTGAATGTTGGGCTCCCCAGTGTGTCAGTAGACGGAAGCTTTCGCAGCCAGAAGTTGGGACGCCATGACGACAGCGACACTCGCGTTCGGTTCTGTTACTCGCAGCTTCTCGTTAACATGTCTACGACCAACCGCCAGGATCAGGACATGCAACAGCATGACACTTCGGCTTCTGTGACGTCATTTGTTGCTACGTCAGGACCACTTGTGATGTATGACCAGCATAGGACGCTAGACACACCAGGCAGTGGAACAGAAAACTGAAAACATTTTAATCGAAGGAACAGACACAAAAGGGAACGTCACAAATTCAGCTATCTGGTTTACTTCTAAGGCATCCATATATACCCTCACAGTCACTCTCAACCACCTTCTACGCAGAGATCTCCGTTGTTGTTTACATCTTTTGCACCAGATTCTGAGGTGTTAAACGACATGATTAGCTGACGGGAATCGTCGTCCTGACCTCCCATCATGCACGATCCACGAAAGTAAACTAGCGTCTGTCGGCGTCCCTCGGCGTCTATCCATGTGCACCAACAGAGCGCTTGAAAAGATGCAAGGAATTCCTTACGCCTTTACGTATCTTGCTAGATGATTAACTTGAAAAGTCACGCAATTTTATATATATGGTTCATGCCTCAAAAATGAACGCCTTTTTGTTGTATTTTTCTAATTTGTGTTTAATATTTTTAGCGTAAAAGAATACCCCGTGTTAAAGCTGTTTGCCTTTCATATTCGTGATATACGAGAGTGTGCTTAGTATCCAAAAGTTTAAATGTCAACTATGTTAACTGCAGGCATCGCCTACTTCGGGGGAGTGTGCCACGTTCGTATGAATGTTGCCCAATCAGAAGACGTGCCTCATACATACAGCATGGTCCCTATTTTGACGCACGAACTCGGGCACTCGTGAGTACTCGCCTTTAAATGGCCCGTGGCGCGTCCTTCTCTTGCGCCAGGGTTTACAAGTTACATTTTATCCTTCCATTCTGTAAACGTTGTGCCGCGTGACTGGATCACAAACTACTTCCATAGTCAATCGGTTGTAATATCGGTGACTTGTATTCAGTTACCTTAATTGAAATCTAGACCATCAAATTTTAATAGAACGCTATAGGCGCGTTTTTCGTGTTTCTTGATCCCTGAATAGGCGTCCAAATTTGACGCACTCCAGCGGTTCTTCCGTTTCTCATCATCCGCGTTTTTGGCGCCACCACACTTGAGCTTGTTGCACAAGTGGTAACTTTAACGTACCCCTCGCCTACTGCCTACTCTATGTTTTTTTTCTTTTTTATAGTACTGATTTAGTAGTTTTAATCACCCAGTTTCTATTTAAAACCATGTTTATTTCAACAAATTAAAAAGGTAATCAATAACACTTAGTTGATTATTTGACTCTTAGTGAGGCGTATCCCTTTATATTATGTCCCCTTGGCCATATAGCTCACCTTCGCAAAGTGCATTAGTTCACGTTTTACGATTTTGTTAATCTGTTCGATTCGAACACCCGGTATTTGCAAGCAACTATAACACATGAATATAAGCATGGTGCCTGGATCATGATTTCATTTCACGAGCATGTCACTAGCAGATATCCTAAATTTAATTTTAACGTAAAACGTTCTTTGGCAAGGGGTTCGGCACTTCGTGAAGTCTGAATAGGTAAAAGCGTGGCCGCGAGGATCGACACTGATTGATTGACGGGTTGGAGACGAGGGGTGAGGTGCTTGAAGCTGATTGGTTAAAGGGCAGGTCACGTGACCAGAAGGGTAGGCGTGGAGGAACGAGGTAGGCGTGGGGGAGCTCGACCACCTGTGAGCACTGAGCGAGAGGAGCTCGAGAGTATAGAAGGCTCTTGAAGATCGCCAAGTTTATCAGCCCCAAGAGCGCTGGTGTCACTTCATTCTAGGAACAACAATCAAGTGTACATATGGTACCCGTTAAACAATCTGATCAAGAGGGCCATGAACCTGGGCGTCTAAAAACTCAAAGTGTCACTAAACCTTTGTGATGCTAAAAGGTTTCACGTACAAAACACAATTGCCTAGAAATTTTCCATAACATTTCTCAATAGGCTTGGTATGGTGCATGACGGGGAGACAGCACAATATAGCACTCCTGGAAACGAACATCGTGTATGCGACCCAAAAGATGGCTTCACGATGGCTCCTGTTGCGCACGGCAAGCGGCAGGGACAGTGGTCCTCCTGCTCCTTGGACCAAGTGCGTAGATTTGTCAGGTAAAAGTTTTATATTCTATCACTTTGATGCTTCAGTGTGCCCTACCTGCCGGCGTCATCTAATCTACGCTCATTTCTAACTTATAATGAAGAAACTTGACTTTAGTGTGATTCATCCTTTAAAGACCGTTGAGATACCGAGTAGTTCGAATGCCTTCCGGATTTATCACAAATTTCACTTGTTTGTAATATTTTCCCTGCCATTTAGAAACGTTTTAGGTAGGCTGGAAGCTAATCTTTTATTTATTAGCACTATTTACCTTAACTCCTTTCTTTTTTCAAGCTTTGAAGTGCACGATCACTTATTATGAGTACAAATGCAGCGTTTGTTGAAGTGTTCTCATTTAAGCTTTCGTAGATGAAGGCTTGCTATCATGCGGCTGTAAAAAAAAGAGAGACTACTTTCCGTTCATTTTCTTTTTTTCTGTAGCACATCGGTCTTTAGGTTACTTTTACAAAGAATACAAACTGCCTGCTTTTTTTCTGGGGCAGTTCTTAGGAGCTTTGTTAAGAATATGTAGTATAAGAACGTGGGCATTTTCTTGGGTTTGGGTTTTTTCGCTGAAATTTTGGCGTGTGTTTGCCGCTTCAGAGGCCAAGTGCTACTAAGAAACATAGAAAATGATGCGTAATACATATGTAGCTTTATTAAATAAATATACAACGACATTAACCTTGGACTGAATTGTCTAATAAGATCAGGTGTATTTATTAATTCAAAAGGCACCTAGGTAAATTGTGAACGTGAACATGCATGACTTTTCGCAAGATATTCAAAGAAAAAGCTAAATTTACGAACACGTCCATAATTAGTCTATATGAAAAAATAATAACCTGTGGTTACGCTGAAGTGTAAATATTGATGTGAGTTAAAAATGCAGCATGCAAAACCCAGATTTTAAAGAGCCATATCCAACATACAGGTCCTCGTTTTGTTTAGATTAAACATAGATGACAGCAACTATTAAACAGTCCCTCCGTCCTAAATATAAATGTTTTCACAGACGTCTTAGTAGAAAACTTTATTCACAAGAAAATGACAGAAAAAATAAATAGTAATTTTATGTAACTCTGTGCTGCTTAGTTTTCATAACCAACAATATACTGCACGTTACTACTGAGTAACATATCGTAACGTAGTAATTTTCATGAGGAGGCTCTTCACTGTTTGAGGCGAGAACGTGGGTGGTAAGGACAATACATATAGGGCTACATTTCAAGAGATAGAGTCCTGACTTGTGCCTGTCTTAAATACTCTTGCTTTTGCTAGCACTTTGGTATCTTGCAAATACATTAAGTCCAAAACATTTGCAACCGGCCTTCAAACATTAGGGCTCCCAATTGTTGGAAGACGGGTGGCTTGGCTCCAATTCCGTAGGAGTTAAGCCTTCTTCTTTTTTTTACTTTTTTCTCAAATAAATTCGCTCTTTGCACATTTTTTTAATGCACCACCTGTGGGCCACGCTGAACAAAAGCATAGCGCGATAGGTTAAGCAACCGAAGTTTCTGGTCAATTTAAAGCGCCTGGCCGCAATTTGAGACACCCAATAGATCGGTTGAGAAGATCTTCGTCTAAACACCTCGGTAAACGCAGAACAACTCGCACCCATTAAAATAGACGAGCTTGAAGAGCCGCCCTCGTTGATCACTCCGCAGACGCCGGCAGCCATGCTTGGTACCTTTTGAAACCCAAGCAGAAATGCAATGTCTGGATATCTTTGAAAACAATAATGAATCTATCCAGATCATTTGTTTTATAAACATAACACTAGTGTTGATGATTGAAATACTATTACGGAACTGAGAAACAATTTTACAAGCGACATTTCACACGTCTATCATCTCGCCTGCCAATAGGGAAGTAAGCACCTTGTAAGCACGGGGCGGGGCTTAGCGGGCTGAGACCTCCACATACAACTAGACTGCGCCTAATAACGTGAATGTTGCTAAAAATATTTAAACTTATCAAAACTTTTTTTTCTTCGCTTTAGTGTCCTTTTAAATCTAGACACAGGCGACGCTACGAGCTGGTCGAATTAATCAGGCGGCGTCAAAAGGCACCATCATCGACTTTCCCCAGTTTCTCAGTTTCTGTATGTATTCTATCATAGCTGAACCAATAATAAACAAAAAAAAAAGCTTAATGACTTACGCCTGTCACGGAGATCGATTTGTCTGATTAGCTCGTAGCGTCGGAGGGAACTGTGCTTACCTGAAACAAAGTGAAGCTCATTCTTAATCCTGTCGAAGTGACATGCAATTATCACCATACTGTAACTTAGTTATACAATGAGTTTCAAAAGTTTCCATTCCTTCACTGCCTAAAAACCGCACCAGAGAACGCTGCTCCTCGTTGGTGCACAGCTCGAGTGAGGCGTCCATCGTCAAGCTGTGACTGTGACGTCATGCTGCTTGTTTGCACTTTGCTATTGGCATGAAAGGTGAAAGCTTACAGGACAATGGCAAGATGGTTTAGGATGTCATTGCAATTTTAAAATTCTTGTTTGACTCACACTAGTATTATACACGAGTGTAATTAGGCAGGGAGGGTTACTTGGCTGGCAACAGAATCCTTTTGTTGCCAGTCATTGTTACCAACACGCTCTTCAGTTAATCTGACTACTTGGCCTTTGAAGACTCTCACACAACTTCTCGGCTAATTTTATGAAATCTGCTGGCGTCAACCTGTAGGTCTGTTTACTAACGCATTTACATGTCTCTCACACTAAATTTATCTAGATTTCTTGTGTGTGTGGCGACGTGAGAATCTGACGGGCCTGTCGGCGTCGGAGTGTTAAATGTGTGCGCTTGATCGATCGAATGGGCGTGGCGGCCAACGAGCAGTGCAGACAGATGTCTTCGGCACCGATGGCTTCCCTTCCGCCCATGCATTTGGTGCTCGTTTCTAACTCAAGTTGCGTTGCAAACTTGTGGCGAGATTAACGTTTTTTTCTTAATGATTTTTGTTGGGCGTCGTGTCAATCCAGTGGACGCCAATATTTAGTTTTAGTATTATGTATAGGAGCAAACGCGCGTGTCTCACACAACGCATGCTCCATACGAACGCAACGCCGCGAGCTTAAGGGCGGTTTATACCCTGTCCTAACTTCAGCGAGCGCACGCACCTGACAGACGCGCAGCTCTCAGGTTTTGAGAAGCGCCCCTGGCAAGCAAAGGCGGATATTTCTAGGTCGCGTTACCATCGTGCGTCGCGCTTCGTCCTTTCAAACGCTCTGTTAGTGTATGTGGGTAGACGCGAGGGACAATGACATACGCTTGTTTACGCGCATTGATCCTGCCTCTTGGGACTCTAGGAGGCCACTTCACTTTCGCAGTAAATGTTCGCGTCTCGCGGACGCTAGCGAAAATGCCTCTTTTGTGGTCTCGTCTCCTGGACAGCACAGCGCCCCCTGGAAGAGGGAAACAGGCCTATAGCATGGGCCGACGCTGTCTGTGAGCGGGGGTCTTTGCGCCGAGAAACTGAGAGAAAGGACGAGACGGGAGCGCACGGAGACATCAAAAGAACCATCTGTGGTTGGAATGATTCGTGAATACACCTAAAGCTAGCTGTCTTTATCTCTACTGCGCCTGTTGAACGCGTTAGAACGCGGAACGACGCCATCTGCACTCTAAAAAAAAAGGGTGTCATGGGGTACACCCATAACTGCTTGTCACATATACTACACCGTTTGGGGGAATACAAGTGCACCCCAAATATGGGAGTACGTGTACACCCGTTGGTGTGGTGCACATGCACACCTTTTTCTACAGAAATCTCACTCGAAGGGAACACAGGTGCATCCCATTCGATGGTGTACCATTGCACCTCTTCATACACCCGCTTCATTCAAAGGGAACACAGACGCACCCCGATCAATAGTGTACCATTACTCCCCTTTCTACACCTACTGCTCTCAAAGGGAACACAGGAGCACCCCGTTCAATAGTGTACTGTTACACCTCTTTCTACACTCGCTGAATTCGAAGAGAACACAGATGCACCCGATTCAAAGGTGCATGGTTACACCACTTTATGCACCCGTTTCATAACTTCATAAACCTATTTAAGACATCAAGGAAAACAGTAAAAAATGTATGCGCCCCGGCGATTGCAAAAAGCCAGGTAAACGGATACACGGTATTGTTTTCAAATCTTATAGAAGTTTATTAGACAGCCTATTCCGTAAACAAGTACAAACTTGCAAGCAATCCGTGATATCTGAAGACGTAGAAAGAAGATTTTACACAACTGAAAAGATTACTAAGCAAACGAGAATCGGGGGTGAGTCTTAGGTAGTGTCCATTCTGCCAGCAGCCCGTAGATTTATTTCCACAAATATCCACCGGCAGTCGTCGTTAATTCATCGAACGACGTTTCATCGACAGCTCAGATTAGCTTTTCTATTTTCGCTTCTCTCCTTTCTTTTCTTTTAATGAGCCGCCCCAGAATGTATCCGCGAAGTGACGTGTATGGGTGGGACAGGTGGGCTAACATTTTAGTAATGAGCCGCCGCAGACTGTCGCCACGAAGCGGCGCGAACGGGTCGGCTGGGTCGGTGAGCACGCGCCTCAGAGACACACGCGCGACAAAATGTCCCTACAGCGTGCATTTTTGCGTAACGAGTGGCGATGAAACGTTAGTGTCGATGAAACGTGTCTACAAAACGTGTATCGACAAAAACGTGTTTTCACAAAACGCCAGGAGAATAAGAAAGTCAGTATTCCACCTGCAGTTGTCACATGATTGTATACAGCTAATGGCAGGCGACTGCCGATAGAATTTCGGGGAAATTATTCTCCCGGCTGATAGAAATTAGACACTGCCTAATTCTAGAGGTAATCCGGAACGGAGCGGTCAGTTGTTGCAAAGGAGTATACTCCTTTGCAACAACTGACCGCTCCGTTCCGGATTACCTCTAGAATTAGGCAGTGTCTAATTACACTAAATACTAGTCCGGTATTTTCATCGTAAGTGCACTGCAACCTATAGGTTGCAGTGCA